ACGTTTGGCTATTGGTACAGCGAGTCGTGCTTCCGCTTTATGTACAGACGGCGGTAAATAACGCCAACGTAGAGCGAGAGAGAGAAAGAGAGCGGCTATCGGCCTCGTGATACTTCTCCTCTTATCTCTGTTTTTCCTGCGCGAAGGCTCACTCGCGCGTCTTGGCCGTTTCTCTTTATTGCCCTTTTTCACTGTCTTAGTCGCGCCCTTTTTACGTTTCACTCGCCTTGCCGCGCTGCAGCAGCACTCTTCCCGCTTTTTTTTCTCATCGCGAAGAGCTATAGCGAATACTTCCGGCTCGTTTAGTGATTTCGATTTTTTTTCGCTCGAACGCCCGATAAATAGTTACTCGGCGACGACGACCGCCCGCAATCTCAAAGGCTACCCGCCGACGGTTTTATAACTTGCTCAATATATAAGCTTCGAGGTACTGTAGGTGTTTATGGAAGTGAAAGTTGAAATACTCTCTCAGAGACTTTCAAAATAGACATTTATACTACCGTTTCATTCTTTGAACGATACAAATTGAAACTTGAAGATAATGTATCTTAGTTTGAGGCTTTATTAAATTATTACAAATTTTAGCTAGTTTTTTTCTGAGGGGTGAAAATGGATAAAAAAAGGCGTAGGAGAAAGAAAACGAGCTCTCCTGCAACCAATCTAACATGCAACCAGTAGAAAGAAAGGAAATGACGGGGCTCGGACTAATTCGTGGGAATGAGGAGCCAGTCGCCGCCGGGAATAGACCATCAAACCGATTGTAATCAGACCATCCCTTCTACCTCGATGTGCGGCGGACCGACCTCTTTTTTTACCTATTCTATCTACTACCTGCTAGTTGAACGTTGGATGTATGGTCAGACGATGAGGGACTATCCCATGTGTCTTTGATGATTAGGTAAATTGCGCTCTATGTACCTTGGAATATCGATCGGAGGATTTTGTCTCGAACTATGAAAATAGTTTAGAGTTTAACTTCTAAGATTTAATGATCAATTTATTTGTTAGTGATAAAATGTTTCACTAAATATTAGTAAATAAAAAGGAAAAATTGAAAAAAAAGAAGATGAAAAAATTCCTATCCGTATCAATTTTTCACTTTTTTCCACCCTCTCTTTTCGCCAACGGATGCATCGTTCTCGTCCACTTTCCTGCTTTCCCCGTGAGGGTAACTTCGTCCCCTTGGCTTTTTATCCCATTTGTCCCTCTCTCGGTTTTACTGCGAGCGCATCTCTCTCTCTCTCTCTCTCTCTCTTTCTCTCTTCGGCTCCTCGGTTTTACGGCGGCCGAGAGACGACGACGCTGTACGCGCAACACCGCGTCGAGGCGAACTAACTGCCGAGGCTTTCTCCTCTTTCGTCTAACTCGATTTTCGGCTGTCCACTTTCGGCCTCACGACGACGTTCTTGACTCAAATCGAACCGAACACTGCGAGACTACTGTACAAAAAAGACTTATTCTTTAACAGCTATCTGCGCGACATGAATGCCAAGATTGTGTGTATTGTGAAATTTCTCAATAAAATTTTTACTTTAGTGCAAAGCATGAGTACGCGCGCTCGACATGATAGCAAGATATGTGAGATTTCTGACTCGGCGTATCTATTGTATAGAATGCCAATAGCAAAGTGCATATCAAGGTATTTTTCATTGTAGATTTTGATTTACAATGATACGATAAAATTTTAATTATTAATTTATTTTATATTATTCAATAGAATATTTAATAAAAATTCTTTGTAACTTAACTTGCTTTCCTAAATAAATTTCCTAAAATAGTGCATTCTAATACATGTACTTGAAAATGTTCTGTCTCATACCACTGATTTCTCGTTGGCACATGATCGTGAAAGAATTATATTTCACTTGCAACTTTTTTCTTATACATAGCAAACTTGTAAATTTATTTCATCCGTGTTGTTAAAAAGTACGACTTTCGTAATTTCATAGAAAAGGTTCAATCTGCGTGGCAATCACGAGTTGAACGTGACGGATGTTTTACTTTATTGCAGTTTCGAGACCAGAAAGCAAAAATTCAGAGAAAAGAATAGACGTTTGAAAGAGTGATGAAAAAATTTGAAGTACAAGATTGACAGATTTATCGAACTTCTTTTCACGATGAAAACTGCCTTTCAGTAGATATATACTAAGATTCCTTGCCTCTGAAGGGATATACGTATCAACAAACTTAGTAGATTGATCAGTCAGTTTGTTTTGTTATTGAGAAGATTTACTAAAAACACATAAACAGTATCATCAGATTCTAAACATAATAAAGCGAATATACGTCTTAATAATGGAAATGATCTTGAGAATGTATTATATTTTTCGACATCAAGTATAAAAATTTATTGTCAAGCTTAAATTTTTTTATTTCTATTATCTTGAATAACAGAATAATTTGACCAAAACTTGTTTTAATTTCAAATAAATATAATTATGAAAGATAATTAAAACAACGAGGTTGAATGAAATTTCAAAGATGAAACACAAATGTAAGATTTTTTAGACCGAAATGTAAAATTGAGACTGAAGTAAAGAATTATATTAATTACGATCGGGAAAAGTCCCTTAAAAATAAATTTGATCATTTCTAATATTTCATTCGACGTTTCACTGATCTTGTTGCCACCCTCTTTAAGAAAAATATGTCTATATCATCAAATTCATCAATCATCGTTACATTCTACTGTGGAATTGATGATGTAGACAATTACCTATATTTTTTCTGAAAAGGCTGAATACAGGATAAGTAAAACGTCAAAATGAAATATTAGTAGTGTTCAAATTTATTTTAAAAAGTTGACCTTTCCCGATCGTAATTCTTTAATTCTTATATATAATGAAAGGTGATAACACAGATGATTATAATTTAATTACTAATTCATCGGCATGAAAAACCTTCCAGTGCAAGGAAAAAAATCGTCGGACTTACAAAATCCAGCTAATCGGAAAACTAAAAATAAATTAACGCAAGTACAGAAATAATAAAACAAAGCGCGACGATGATCGTTAAAAGTGACTTACTCGAACGGAACCTAAATGCCTAATCGACCTAATATTCACAGCCGCTGAAAACTACTTCCAACTTGATTATACCCGCCGTCAACGCAGTACCGGGCCTTACACGCGTACAGCCTATACATGCCCTCGCTCTACGCTCTTTGCTCTCTCGCTCGCTCTTCTCTTTCACCTAACGGCCTACGGCTAGACTTATCAATATCCTATCTGGATGACCTGGAAACTACGTGTTTTCTCGTGGGGTTTAAAGGCCTTCGGGAGTCATGAACAAGCCTCGAAGCCGACTAAAAGGGCGTTAGGGTAACGATGCACAATGCACTCGTCCGCGTTATCAAGCTCGCAAAAAAGCTCAGAGCAAATTACGTGACACGCAATTCAATCGCCATTACAGACTGCCTACTTGTGTTGACAGCTTGAACTCACGTACGCTACTGTACAAGTTTAATACACTTACATTTATATAATAATAATAAAACTTAATAACTATGCATTTTAAGATTAATAAAGAAAATAGCAGCCTCGAGGGCAGCTGCGTTATTTACTGCGCATATTAAAGAAACGAAAACTCGCGCGCTTTTTAATCTCGGATGTCGTAAATACTCCGGTGACGCATCGAGAGAACCGATTGCATTTACGATTTCATTCGAGTGCTTTTTCCAACGGGCAGAAACTCGACCTTGACCACACGTGTCGGAAAGAAAAGCGGCGATATTACGGAGCGTATACAAAATGTCGCTCGTCGATCGTCTACGATTTTATTGCTTGGGCATTACGTGCATTTACATCTCATCTCCTTTCCAACTGCATGCGTCTATTTTTTATTTCTTCGAAAATATATCGATTATTAGCGTGCTATCCTAATCCTACGAAACTGTTAGCGTCGTTAATAGTGGAAAATTAATGTCCTTATCAAGACGAAACATTTTTTGAATGAATATTTACAAGATTATTCTAAGTGTTTCCGCAATTTTATGAGATTGTCTTAAATTACTATTTTAAGTGAAAAATTGTCAAGATTGCTGCAAAATATTTTGCAATTTTATATGCAATAAACATTTGCATGAGAATGAAGGTTAATTACAAGTTTTCGAAATGAGATTGAGTTCAGTTGTATAAGTACTCGTTCACAGGAAATGTGTCCTTTAGAATCGACAACATTGTAATAATAATAAAAATTAAGTTTAAATTAGGTTGAACAGCAAAAACAATTAGAGAATGTGCAAAGACCACTTTACCATGGAGAAATCCCATCGCCAATGGTGACGGTGGTATATAGCGGTAGGATGCACTTGTTGAAAACAGAAACACGGAATAAGCAGAGGTCGATTTGGCGCGCCAAGGGAGAAAGTAGAGAAAGAGGACGCAAAGCGATAATAGAAGCGTAAAATCAGAGGGAGAAAGAGACGAGGCGTGGGCTTTCAGCGGCCCTATTAAAATTGCACCCGTTAATTTAGCATCGTCTCGCTGGGTTGCCTTAGGTAACGCACACCAAGCCTCTCTGTGTTTACACAGCGTCCTCTCTCTGTTTGTCTTCGCCTTGGCATAAAGGCCTGTGAGGAACATAAAGCTACACCACACGCATGCGCCAGGTGACGACGATGACGCGCGATCACGGTTGCCGGGTCGGCCGTCGTTTACGTCTCGAAATTAAAGGCGACGACTTCCACACGCCGAGCTCCGATTACCCCCACGGCGTCTCTCTTTCTTTGCTTTGTCGTATTTGGTTTGGCAACAATCGCACGCCGAGCTGACGGCCGGTTATTGTTTCAGAAAGGATTTTAAGGACCGTAGTCAACTGACTCTTTTAGTTTATTTACTTTTAGTTGAAAATTTATAACAAATTTATATTAAAGACAATCCCAACTTTTTTAATTAATCTGACTACTCATAAAATGAGAAATATTATTTGAGACTAATGCATAAATACTTAAAATGCCACTGAAATCAAATCAAGAATTTGTCTGAAATTTTCTGTTACAGAACACTACCACATATTCGTCGGTGACCTGAGCCCGGAGATCGAGACGCAGACGCTGAGGGAAGCATTTGCTCCCTTTGGAGAAATCTCGTAAGTCTCGCGGCTTCTACTTTAAGTCACGCTCATTAAAGCATTAAAGCCAGTGAGAGAGTGAGAGAATGAGAGAGCGAGCCACAGCTGTTTTCTACATGCGCGTGCCCTTTTAGCTTTCTCTCTCGCGAGCTAAAAGCATTTAGTAGTTTTGATGGTTTCCGATAGGTTTATAGGTGCTCAAGACTTCATAGATTTCGCACTCGGCCAAGTAACGGACTTCAGAAAAGTGATTCATTAGTAAGCTTTATGAGGATAGCGAGATGGGTATATGCGCGTCTAGGGTTGCAAACTTTACTACTTTCGGAATGAAAATATTCGAGAAGTCAGCACCTGCCAAGGGGTAACGTATCTTCGGAGAAAATTCTCACTTGATTTCACATATTTTCATCGCATTTACTTGACGTCAAGTACTGATTCTTCTCAACTTTTTGATTGTTTTTAATTTTTTGAACAGAAAAATATTTTAGTGAGATTATTGGGTTATTGTCATTAAAATATGTGTTTAATCTTGCACAGAATCAAATTATCCGACCGATAAATATAAGGTTAACAAATATAGATGTTCACTAAGCAGGTAAACTTGTTTTTTATTTTTTGCGGGATGTCACACAGTCGAACAAATTACTTTTTCGCTCGTTATATTTTCTATCATCCTATAATTAAAGAGAAAAATTCTCGAAAGGATTGAAATTGTGTATCATCATAGGGCGACTGGTAAAGATGGAAAAACGTAAATAGAAATCCAATGCTACTTTTATATAGTGCGTCCAACGACACGAGCTTAACGCTTTATTGGACGCAGCAGCATCGTACCCGGGGTAGACAACTCTCCTCAGAAAGAAAGAGAGTCTCTTCGTGGCCAACTGGTGCGTGCGAGACGATAACGAGCTAACGACACTTTACGCCAAGATACTTTTTTAACCCCGACCGCCGTAGCTCGCTCACACATACATATAACCCTTTTGCCTCTTATCTTTCTTCCCTTATTGTGAGTGTGTGGGTATGTGTGTGTGTATGTGTGTGGTGCGCGCCCACGATCGATCGTAAGCAAAAGCCTCTATGTGCGGAAAACACTTTGCATGGTAATTCTTTTCCTTCTGCGCGCGCGTGTTTGTTTCATAGTTTAAAGAATAAACAAAAACATATACATAAGCCTCTTTTAATCGCAGTCGGACGTATAACAGACTCAAGTGTTACAGCACGTTCGACGTTATGTCCAATAAATATCGTTTTTCAACTGTTTAAATATTTTAATTCGAGTGATACAGTGGATTTCAAGACGGAATGGATCATTTTTAATGTACTGTTTGATGTTGTAAATTAGTGTGTAGCAAATTGTACCTTTCAGTGATTATTTCTCAACTGACAATGGCATCAAATATGGTCGTGATTGCTTCATAAATTACAATGCTTATAAATTGACTTTTATTACAGTATAAATTACACATATTCCGAAACATTGATGAAGATAATGTTCTTTCGATTGACGTGCTCCCGTTCTAAATTGTAATAATTTTGCTAAATAGGAATGAACGAATCAAACTTTTATAAAGAACCTGATGCATTGGAAAGAGCATTTGCCAAACAGAAACTTTCTCTTGGAAGTAATTTGTTACATAAAGTACCTTTTCATTAAGATATTCGAGAGCGTATAATGACATTCGCTAGCGAGCGAGCGAGAGAGAGAGAGAGAGAGAGAGAGAGAGTTGGAATTCACAAAATTTAATAGTATTAAGTTCGCAAAATGCTTTGAGTCTGGCGTCTCGACGAGTACTTTGGTGACTTTATAGCGTCGTTTGGAAGCGAGCCTCGAGTGTCATCTAGTCTAGTTACGTTTGGCTTTCTCTCTCGCTCGTCGGTCAAAAACTCGTCGACAATCCTCAAGGTATCGAATAGAACGAGAGTTTTACTGAGAAAATCATGAAGATAGATAAGGAGCGTAGGAGTTGTAAAAAACAAAGATGAAAAGTTTTAAGGGCTTAGTGTACGACGGAGTGCTTCTCGTGTCCCAGGGACACGACTTGTAGTCTCGTACATTGACCCGGCATTTGTGAATAACGCCAAGGTACATGCCACTACTTTAATTCTATTCAAATTAAACACTAGATTTATTAGTTTACTTTTCTCGTGAGTAGAAGGTAACCTCAGTGAGACTTTATCATTTTAAAATGTATCATCTGCTGGCGTAGTTATGAACTTAAAAAATTACTTAGACTGCATAAACATTTCCAAGCACGGCCATATAGTAAAATCGATAAGTAAACTGGAGTACAAAACCTTGAGGGCATATTAAACGCGTAGGCAGGTATATAGGGGAGGTAACATATTCATAAAGAACACAGAAAGAAAGCGTGTGTGTGCGCGCAGGTGGGCCTGGTTGGAAAAATGGCAAGAAGGAAGCTTGCCGAGGAAAATCGATGCAAGCGGTAGCGGCGCTTTAAGAAGCTCGTGAAAAATTGCTAGTGGTTTTCCTCTTTATTTTGTTCCGGGCACAGGAGGGGAGAAGGTCTTCCCTTTTCTCTGTATCGCCTCTGTCTCTCCTCTATTTTTCTTTCTGATAGTTTGCTCTGTCTCTCTTTACAGCCACCTGCGCTGCATGCTGTTTCTTCCTCTACTTTTTCTCTTCTCTTTATGGTACAGAACCTGCTCCTTCTCTGCCGACGCCAACCTCAAAATGCGCGCGAGCAATTAAATAAAAGATTTACAGCAGCGATGCACCTGCTGATCGTTCTCTCCTTACTTCTATTGCTGGCCTATCTATTATTTTATTATAAGTTTCATTTAAAAATCATTTCAGCTTTTTCAAAATTTTATCATTGTATCATCGTGAAATACAGTTACCAAAATAGTATCCATGACTTCCTATATCAATTCAACGAGGGAAATGTCAATGATTGATCTGTTTTGTAATTCAAATGCACAAGTCGACAGAATCTAAAAATATCTCATATCTCATTCATACGACGTACTAGCAACACTACATTCTGAATAAAATATCTAAATACTTTCCAATTAAGAGTAATATAAGCCCATATATAAATATAGAAAATTAATATGAAAATACACATCTCGCACTCGGCATCATATTTATTTCAAAAATTCAACAATCTGGCAAAATAAATTTGAAGAAGAGTTAAAAGGCTAAAAAAAAGGAAATGTCTATCGAAGAGCTGTTACATGTTCCCTCTACAAATTGGGTACGCGTTAGTGGGGGGTGAGGGAAGAGCTGTGCTACACCACAAAATCGCTTCGGCTGATTAGCTGTGCTGGTGGGCGCTCCGCCTGGCCAAGGCGCTTTGATGGGACGGAAGCTCTGCCTCTCTCTCTCTCTCTCTCTCTCTCTCATGCTCGCTTGCTCGGTCGCGCCGATCAATTATACAAGCGGGCGCGAAATTGCCAGGACGCTGCCGCCGATGCGTGTATAAATACCGCGGCCGCTCTCCCGCTCGCTCGTTGCTGTCCCCTGATACGCGCTTATCCGGATGACGATTTACGGCTGCTCTAAGCTTCATCCGTAGCCTCAAGAGCTCATAGTCCAACACTCGTGTTTACGTTTGTTAATTGTTCAAGGCTAGCTGTTTCTAGCAAATCAGTTCACAAAAATCTTTGAAAGATATTCAAAAATACAAAACACTCATCTGTATAGACCAGAAAAGTACTATGGGTTGCTCTGAATAGTGTTTTTATTTGTATTTATGAAACGTAATAAGTATTTTACGTTTTTATTCCGTTATTTAGTATTACTTAATAATTCTTTAAAAATAATAAGATTGAAACATAGAATGATAGCAAAATAGGGTATAAAAACTAAGATTTAGATAGAAAATGAAAAAACAAAGAAAAACTATGCCAAAAATTAGAATATTTGAAAAAAAATAAACAAACGTTTTTTCCCAAGCAACAAAATTGTATAAAAGTTTATTTTAACTAATTTCTTCCGAATAATTTACTCTCAAAAACTTCGACACAGCGGAATGTATTGATATAAGTATACATTGTCAAAAGTTCTTGAAATATTCTTTTTGAACCACTGAATCGGAACGTCTATGAACTGACGTTGAATAGTTTCCATTTTATTGAAGTGTGAGAACGAATAACTCATTTGTTAGTCGTTTTATATCGTTGAAGATAAAAATGGATAGAAGACGTATGAATAAGAATAACTTTTCTTGTGATTTGCCTTAGCAGTGCTATGGAAAAGATGAGATTGCCAAATACACATATACACCCAAAGTTTATGAGCGCTTCCATGAATAAACATCGAAGAAAGAAGAGAGGCGGTGAGGTAGTAGAGAAGGGTGAGATGGATTGGCATTCACTGGCGTTCTCTTATACTCGAGTTTTACTCTGCCAGGTGCGGTGCCGCACACTAGTGGCAGACGCGAACAAGATTTAATTTCGCGGAAGCGATGAGAAGTTGCGAGTGAAAAGTTCGCAAGACGGCGGCAGGCGGACATTTTTGCGGCGCGGCGCCCAACCGCGAGGTGAATAGTAATCGCGGCTTGTCAGGACTCTTTCCTCCCAGCAGGATCTTAACAGTTGGGTAATTGGCCGAATATTTCTTAGGACTTGAGAAAGAGCTTGTCGCTCAAGGAGTAGGAAATAATATCTTGACTCTCTGAACAAGAGGCAAAAAAAAAACATAAATCGTTTCTGCTAAGTTGTTTCTTAACCTAAATTTTTCCGTGCGGAAAGTTCAATTGATGAAATAATTATTTTTTTAAAAAGGAAAGCTTCAAGGACTACTGGATGGCTTATTAAAAAGATTATGAAGATGAAATGATTAAACTTTCATCGATCAATTTGTTTAATTTTCAAAGTCAAGTCCATTAATAATTAACAGAATAATACGTAGATTATAACTCGGCAGTGCCAATCCTCGTATATTACTATTTCACATTAATTGACAATCGCTAGTAATAGAAAACACAAGTGGTAAAAATCGAGCAATAGTCAGCCGCGAGCCGACAAGCTCCCTCGGTAAAAGGATATATCCG